TAAGTATATAACGCATCTTCATAAGCAATGCTGTATGTTTTCTCGGCACATAATATCGGTTTTATTGTTATGTAAAACCGTCATATTTTTTACATCGATGTAACATCTGAGCGAATGTGATGAATGAAAACACAAGTGAGTAGTCTATGTGCTCTTCCAGACTATCCTCTACATCTATACAAAATTTCAATTTTAGGCTACAAACTGTAACAAACATCCAACCATGCATCTAAACTATCGCTTTTATAATATTAGTATGAATAGTGTTGTATCGTGTTTAGAGTTCAGAGAGTGTATTGTGCGTGTTGTGTCGGGTCAGTGGTGGAGGTGGAGGGCCTGGTGATGCTGGAGGTGAGCGCGGTGTCGTGGCAGCACATCTCGGTGTCGCTGGAGAACCCGGCGGACGAGAGCGTGGCGACGCTGGAGCTGTCGCTGGCCGAGCCCGCCGCGCCGCGCGCCGCGCTCTGCACGCTGCACGCCGCGCCCAACGAACACCTCGACGACTACATCACCTCCGTGCTGCAGAAGAGCCACTCCATACCCGTCACCTTGAGGTACCCTTCACTAATATCTTATCACCTAACTCATATCTCCCCCTACATCTAATATTGTGAAGTTGATGCCAAGTTTAAGACAGTAGCGTTCAATAACTGGACTGGTATTCAACTGGTATAGTATTAACACTAAGTAGCGCCAGTGAAATCATACAATCCATGACGGTACTTCCATTTGTACTGTCCAAAAGTCAACAATTTATATGAAATTTTATGTAAATGTATAAAAAAAGTTTTTTTACGAAGTTACTATAATTTCAGGTCTTTAGTGAAGATCTGGAAGAGGGAAGCCGCCTCGAAGCAGATGAACGGCAACTATTCTGCGTTGGATTCGAATTTTAGCTGCGGCGTGGGCGGGCTGGACCCCGGGGGCGAGCTGCGCCACGAGCCCGCCGGCCTGCACCCCCGCCTCTACCCCAACAACCTCACCACGCACCAAGGAGGTAACAATTTTTACCAACTTCCTGAACACGTTACTAAAGTTTAGTTGAGTAATACATAATTAATTAAAGGGGCGTATCTATCGGAGCAACAGCACCATCTATCAATGATATGCCAAGATCCGAACTCGAGCGAAACAAAACCGCAAACTGATGAGCGTAAGTCAAAAAAGAGGAAGTCCGATAATGACATCTGGTCCTCTAGCCAAAAAAAGGGTAAGCAGGGGATCACTGAAGCCGCGGACTCCGAGAGCGATAGCGACAATTCGTATGTAAACGAGGACGAGAATACTATGAATAGTAATTCGACCAATGAGGAAGGTCCCGAGTCCTCCGTGTCGCAGAACGAGTTCGCGTCGGACCTGGAGCTGTCGGCCATGGACGCGGCGGACGCCCTCGCCGCACACGACCACAGGTCCTCGGACATGGACAACTCCAATGATGGAGAACCCGAAGATATGATTCGGTAGGTATCGCAATCAACTGCGGACAGACCTCCGTCGACATTGAAATAACCATATGTGTAAATGTTATTGATCGCTTCATTGTTACTTGTTTCAGGAATTCTTTTCACAAGTCTGAGCACAAAAGGCAAAAGTTAAAAAACAAGGAGTCCGAGTCGAGGAGCAGCAGAAGCTCGGCATCCTTGCTCCTGGACCTGACCGACGGTAAATCCTACATGCCGTCCTCAGTCAGCATCACGCCCATAGCCTCCAGCGCGCCCGCCGGGAACCTCTCCTCCATGTTGTGCCTCGACCGCCGCCCCGGCATCGAGATCATACCCATATCCTCCGCCACCCCCGCCACCCTGCCCAGCTCCATCACCATCACGCCCATTACCTCCTCACAGCTTAAGTCGCTCGACTCCAGGTCCGATAAGAAATCGAGCAAGTCCAGCGAGGAGCGCAGCAAAGAGAAGAAGAAGAAAAGACGCAGAGACGACTCCATGGGACCGCCCGAAAAAGTCCCACCGAAACAAGATCCGCTGACGAAACCCGTATCGGTGAGTATTAAACCGACCGACGGGTCCCCCATGCGGTCCACCTCCCCAAACTCTATTCTGAGAAAATTCAGCCCGAGCCCCACGCACGGCAGGTCCGTCTCCATCACTAAGTCTCCTAGCCCCAGCTCGGTGAAGAGCCTGGGCAAGCCCCCGGGCACCTCCAGTCACCACAGCAGCCCGCGACACTCGCCCGTACAAAACAGCCCCAAGCATCTCACAGGGTACTCCAGTCCAAAAAACCACAGCATCTCCTCCCCTAAACACAGTTCCTCGGGCTCGGGGAAGCCGAGCATGTCCACGTTAAAGTCCGCCACTACGGGATCTCCGTCGGGTAAGTCGGGCACCACGGGGTACGACTTATCAAAAAAAATCTCAAAAGACAGTTACGGGTCCAGTTCGATGACGTCCAGAGATAAGGAAAAGAAACATTCCGGTTTATCTTTTTCTAGTTCGGATCGTAGTAGTCCCAAGTTAAAAAACCAAATAAAGCTTAAACAACTTGAAATTACTCCGGTGTCTTGCGACAGTCCCGTCGCCGAGCCGTTGATATCTCCGCCTAATATAGAAGTAAACAAATCTAACACGCCGTCGAGTCAGGCGCGGAATAGGAAAGGCTCGCTCAGTGCGGTGATCGACAAACTGAAATCGGCTCACCACAGCGCCGACACTGACCTCGGCAGCGGAAAGTCCGGCTCCAGCAGTGCGAACAAATTCAGCGACCCAAAAAATAGCACTGTCGGCAGCGGTATGAAAATAAGCGAAAGTAAAAACCAGGAGTACATGGTTAAGCCGAGTTCGGACGGAATGAAGATCACAATTAACAAAACTAGATCCAAGGAATCTAGTAGTTCAAAACTAAATTATAGTTCTAGTAAGCAGTCTTCGCCTCAATTAACTCCGCCGAGCCAAGGATCCCCTAAAACCCACACCGGGCTGAAGCCGGGCGTTATAAGTGGACCGGCATCGAAAAAATCGCAGGCGATGCAATCCTCTAAATCCGGCCTGTCCACCAGCTCTACTCCACCGAAAAACAACACCAGCCCCTCGGAATCATCCAGCTCAAGTGGTGTCCCCAAAGTGCCTTACTCGAAGTCTTCAAGTGGCAGTAGCACAGGAATCAATCTGTCCAAATCGGCGTCCAAAACCAGTTCAGGCTCACCAAAAAATAGCAATTCCGATATGTCCAAGATTATAAGAGACAGAGAAAGGGAAAAGGTTAGAACAAAATTAATGAGTAATTCGGAAAAATCTATATTTTCCTCTAAATCAGAACGTCATTCCAGTCCTAGCAGTTCGAGGGACGACGTGGACGGGGATAGATTTAAAACCTCCAAGGAAACTAATTTTCTCGTCGAAGGACTTATAAAACCGCTAGATACTAGCAAATTTCAAATACCCAAATTGAAAAACCAAAACACTCCTGATAAAAATAGCCCCGTCTCGCAATACGATAGTCGTTCTTTGGTGAATGATTTTGCACGAACTTTGGATCAAAAGTTTCCGTTTTCTCATTTTGACAATTCTAACGTTAGAAATGCCGAAACATTGCAGAAATCCGGATACACTTTAAACGTACCAAAACCTCTACTAAACATGGGTGCGATGAGCCCCAAAACCGTTTCCTCGACCAAACTGGATCAAGCTGATAGAGCGGATTTTTCAAAAAACTTAGAAGGCCTAGGGAAGGGGGAGAGTCCTCAAAGAAGTAAAGACGATTCAAAGGAGGGTTTTCCTGGCGCTTTCCCTATGATGCCGTTAGATTTTAAGACTGATATGGCGAAGGGGTTTCCCGCACCAAAAGGTAGCTCCGAGGACAGGAAGGGTGCCGACTCTTGCATGAAGCCGCCTGCATCTGGGTCGGTCGCTAGAAGCGGGGCTACTACGCCTCAGGAGGCTGCGGAGATGTTACTAGATTTCTCTTCGTCGTCTGGGAGCAAAGTGTCCGGTATGGTAGCGGTGAGGCCTGTGTACCCCGCGTCGCCGGCGCTAGCGCTGCAACTAGCTAAGAGCCCCGCCCCCTCACCTCTGGTCGCGCCCTCGCCACACTCCAACTCTCCCTGCATTACTGACGACGAGCTCATGGACGAGGCACTGGTGGGCCCGGGGAAATGAGAAAGTAATGCCTTTCGTGTCTTGAGGTTACACAAGAACAACAAAACTCATTGTTGTAGTAAGTCTTGTAAAAAAAAACACTAGACCTTTGTTTTTACTGGTTATATTTATATTATATTTATTTTTCCATGGCTTTTAAGCATCTTTTAATATTGTAGATACGTTACGATGTATTATAGCGAACGTGGTGGCGTATTTTGTGATTTTCATGTATATAGAAATGGATTTATCGATGTGTTATACGATTATTTTTTTAAACTGTGAAAATCGGTATAAAATATGTATGTATTTGGGTCTATCCCCGACCCAGGCCATGAATTAAATACAATTTAGTATAGTTGTCTACAATGTGTCCTAATTAGTATAGTATGCCAGTCCTTTGTAAAAATGGAGTACTACGAAATGATATTAAAATCACGGATTAAATAAGGCATTTATGCTTATAGGTGAAAATAGAAATAAATAGATTGTAAAAAACTTGTTTGTTTTATTTACTTTGTTATTAAAATCTTATTAAATATTCCGTAAATTACAAATGTAACAAAACGTTTTTGGTATGGCTTAATATCTATAATATCTGAGAGAGCTGGGGTGATAAAATGGATAGGGATAAAAGAAGTGAAATCTTCTGAATGGATATCTTTGGAAATTCCTTCTGGTGACGAAACGTCTTCGTTGTTTCTGTCTGTTTCTGATGATTGGAATAGGAACGAAGCCCTCTGCGGTCTCCATAATTTCGCCGGGTTCTTTAATAATTACATTGTCTTCGGTATAAGGATTAAATATTTGTGGTTCTGGGACTTCATCTTGATATGTCACTGTTGGCGGTTCAGGTGCTATAAACTCGTTAGGAATACCAAGAGATGGGGGCAGTCCTGGAAGCAAACCATTCGCCGAATCTTCAAGAGGTACTTCTGGCGGTATGAAATCATTTGGTGTGCCTTCAATACTTTCTTCTATAAGGATGTCGATTTCAGCATTGTCGTATTTTTCAGTTATTTCGTTTCTGATATCCGATTCTGTATTTATGTTATCCTCGTCATCTTGTTTATTAAAATTTGTTGTAACTTCAATTGGTTTATTTTGTGTTTCACTGTCGATTGGTAATAGATTCTTATTTTGGTTTAATTCTTCAGCACTTCCGATAACACTTATCCCTAATACCAGTATTATGAGACTAGTCTTCATTTTTTCTGAAAATACGAAACGTTCCAACGTTAACCAGTGACATGAAGAAAGTGTGAACTTTCAACGCTATATATTCCAAAAAATCTGGGACGAAGAAAGCCGTTTACTGAAATGTAGTTTATTTAAATAAATGATTAGACTCATTGAGAGGGTCTTTAAAGTTTTGTATGTTATGTTGTCCACAAAAATAAATATTAATCATTAAACAAGAACAATTTTATTAACAAGAACTCTATCAATTCACTTGGACAATTTACCAAGAGGCACGCTGAAATTAGAGACAAAACTCACCTATTTATGACACTATCATAAATCTAATTTTAGACTAAAACACTATATTATAATTATTTCAATTGACTTACATACGTCCTATAATGGTTACAATGAGGTCTAGCCGTCTGCGACCTCCTTACCCCTTGGTTCTGATTCTGTCGTCTTTGTGCCCGTATTCTCTCCCGTCTCTCCTTTAACCTCCTCATCGCAAAACGCGGCAAAAATGGATTCTGTGATTCCGCTGTTTCCATCATTTCGTTTGCATCTTGGACCGGAGCAACTTTTATCTCTTTTTTAGACTCAATCATTGGCGCAGAATGAGTTTTAATCACAAATATAAATAGTATTAATGCGAAACAAAGTACTTTTGACACCATCTTGATTTAATCCCTTGCCCTTGCTAATCCAAGAGTAATCTGAATGCCGTAGAGTGAATAACATCTTGTTTTATATGGTGTTACGCTCCAGTGACACACATAATGTGCATGTGTTTACAATACGGATGTTTTAGGAAAACGTAACGGGTCATACGTTCGCTTCCAATTAACACATAATTGGCCGTATTCATAGGTCGTGCCTGAAAATATTACAATTGTTATATTTCATGCGGCAATTTTTAGTTTTTTTTTTTTAATAAACCGAAATGAAAATTTCGACGAGGGTTACAGAAAGAAGTAACTAACAGGAAATAACAGTTTACTGGCAGGATTCGTTTTTTTTCAACAACCATTGTATATGCTAATGTCATTTTTCATGAAAATGAAATCACAATGCAATTTGTCAATTAAACAATAATACATTTGGACTCTTTCAGTGTTTATTCAATAATTAACGACAAAAAATATAAATGTTACCTGTTTAATAATGTAAAAGGGACCTAGTTCACTTTTACGGCAGTACTATGAATATGAACATCTTCAGTCAACGTATTGTTTTGACGCAGTGTCAAGGCGTGTGAGTCACATTTCTCAGAGCAAACATACATCAAATCTCAATAAACTGATGAACCTAACATAAACTAACATACATATCCACGTAATTATGTTTATTTATAAAGCAGTTATTTCGCAATAATTATGACTTGCAATAATATTAATACCAATAAGTCACATTTATTGACTTTATTACGTATATTTAATTACTCATCAACGTTAACTGCATTAACTTATATTTTCAGAAGTGTTTTACCAATTTGAAAAATCTTCGAAACTCGGAAAGTGAATTATCTTTTAAAGTGCTTTCTTTCTTTCCAATCACATTCAACTATTGCATTTACTGCAAAGGTTATCAAATCTTGTCTTTTAGCGTTGTAAACAGATGTTTCGTTCACTATTGTTGCACTATAATTGAAATTCTTTAACTTTTATTTCTTGTTACTCTTTCAAATAAGCTACAATTAAGCGGAGATGATTCCCAATTATGAACGTGAAAGTGAAAATAGAATAGATGGATTAGAACTACGGACCACATTAACCGTCCATCCCCTTAACACATAGGCTGGCGTTGCTTACTGTGAGCACAGGTAAAAAACCATGCTATACTATTATATGAATAACTCCTCAAAACAAATAACAGCGGGTCGTAATATATTTCATCTTCAAGGCGCCGTGTCAATTAACTTTCAGCTGTTTGGGAGCGCTCGATGCCGTTATTGCTACTCGTATATTTCGGAGGAAGTAGGTCAGACGGGTCCTAACTATATTCTTTTATAGTTAAGATTCTTTTCTTTACAACAAACTATACTCGCTACCATAGACAATGTTTGTACGTTTATTATCTAAGCTTTTTCTTCTAAACCATTAATTACATATAACTAAACTTTGGTAGAGAGTTTTTCCCCTAACCTACTCGCCATGTGGCAAAGGCGCCAGTGCCTGTAACCGACCAGTTAAGCTATGTAAGATGAACTCGCGATGAGTTAGGATGGACTTCGGTGAGTATACTTTTGATAAGTGTTATGGTCTATTCGAGCAAAATATGTAAGGTATTTTTAAAAAAACAATTCATCAGTCTTCTCTATATCGAATTTACTAGACGCAGATATTTATTTCAGCTATTAATAGCGCTGTCCTCAAAACAAGACTCATCAATAAAACAGCAAAACATTCTCAATACGCATTGATTCAAGGCAGTTAACCGCGGGTTCACGCTTCCAGACTGTTCTGACAGACAACAGAGGCCTCTTGTTAATATACATTCACGTTTGATACATCAAACCACAATAAATGTATAAAATATTTTAGTTTTACTTTTAAAAATTGAGAGCATTTTCACTCAATAAGGTAAGTCGTTGAAACATGTTTAAGTAAAGAACTTAAAATTGTCTCTTATCCAGCCATATGAAGACAAGGAATACAACATCTTATTACTCTTAAATATAAATTTATATATTGAAAGTAATAATTGAAGATAAATTTTATCGCAACGGAACCTTGTGCACAACTCAAGGCACGAGGAAATCGATACGTCTGGAAACCTGCTATGAATTTTATATTATGTGCTGTTGGGGAGCTTTGGTAATACAACACGTCTGTCTGTCGAACTCTGGAAGTTCAAAGTTCACTCTTCACTCGTAAGGTTATTGTACTTTTATTGTCCAACAGTTAGTCATTCGTCTGTTACTATATATATTTTAATAGCTTAATTTTTATACTTACTTTACAAAACCAATAAACCTTTCCTATCCAGTTCATTAAAAAATATATAAAAAGCTTTCAATAGACACTACTTAAACAAAATAGGTGAATAAAATCGAGATTTGTGAAATTGTCATTATTTTATTGTAAAGCGCCTGTTGCATTGCAATATGTAAACTTTGTGAATACAAATTAAACGTAATAATTTCTAAAGGAAAACTTTACAGACTAATTTGATAACAGCGATATAAAACTTGGAAGTTTTAACAATACAACATTATAGAGCCTGGACGGCTTTTGTTGCACAAGACGATACCATAGATTTTTACACGTGTTTATATTTATGTCCTAAACAGCGAAAGTTGTTAGTATCTCGCTGCGGTACGTTACGCATATACAAAGAATTTTGCTAAATATCTTTCTCACGGGAATCGTTTATTTGCATTTCGCTATATGATAAGATTACCACACCGAGAGTGTGAATTGCGAAAATCTTATAACAACAATAATATAATAATGCTACAGAACACATTGCAATTCTGTGAAGATCGTTGTTCACTTGGTCATCGGCGTTACTTTATGTGCCTAGTCTTTGGTGTGTAGGAAGACCACTTGTTCTAGCGGATGCTCTATGAAGCTAGCTCGGCCGAAGGCAGAGATTGGTATATCAAATTGGGCGCACCTCTTTGACTAAACTATTGTGCGATTGTCTATTGTTTCGCAACCAATTCAACTGTTTAGTTGCACAATTAAAATCGAATAGTGTACTCACCTGCATATAAGCTCATAGGAATCTAACCAAGACTAAACAGTTGTGCGATAGTTTAATTTCAGGTGTGCACACACTCAAACACAACACAGAATACAGGAGGAAAATAGTGGGAATTTGGTTATTGTAAGTTACTTTGAAGATCTAAAATATTATATTCAGTATGTGTGTCATGTAACATTGGCATTAAATTAACAAATAAAAAAATCCCAGAATATAGTTTTTTATTACAATGTATACCAAAGGATTTCAAGCGTTGAGTCGCCCGCGTTGTAAATATTATTTCTTGTATTAAATACATAAACCCAATGAATTAGTAACCTACATTGTAGACGATCTCTTATTAAGATAAGATTTTTAGGCCAAACTGTCATATCTTTTCTTCCGCTATACAAACTCATAATTTAAACTTTAAACAATTGATTTCTGATAAATTAATACTGTACACAAGAACTTATCACCTTGAGAATTAAATATTGCGTTGCTGACCCAGTAATAAAACTAGCCTCTCTAACCGGATCGCGGTAATATTTTCACGAGCCTGTTTCGTGGTTGTTAAACCATTGATTTCCTATCAATAGCATAATATGTAGGTAGTAAGAAGTTAATTTACGTTCAAGGGAAACAAAGATGTCATAAAAGTATTTTTATTATAGTGTTAACATTAACGTTCCCGATATATCACAGACTGCTTCAGGCAGTGTCGCCAGCGGTTTTAGCGGCTCCTACACATAGGTTCGTGTACAGCAAACATTAACTGATCGTCCATAGTAATCCCTTGAAGTTGTCACATTTAAAAAGAAGCTTAATTACTTATATTTATTGTATTCAAGTTGCTTCGCGACAATTATATTAGATCTTAATGATGCAGAACCCAATTAGGGATAAAAAAAATCTTGAGATCGGTCCTTGGTTTTTGTTGCATTGGCCTACTACTCGTAGTTTTGTTGCGGATGTCTGTGAAATCAATTATTTATTTTCATCTTTACAGTTTTAGTAATTATGCGTGAAGAGGCAGACTTCCTTGTAACTTTTTTTTAAGTTTTATTCATCTATAATTTATTGATACTTGCACTTTCGGTAGAATCCTTCTATGACTTACAGATTTCTGAAGCAAGATCAAGTAAAAATTTAACTGGTCCTCACTTTATAAATAAAAACTTCAAAGAAATAAAGACACGCTTGTTATATCCTAGACCGGCAAGAATAGTGTTTCAATTCCTTCCGAGTTCCCCCTAGCAACTTACAATGCGGAAACAAAAAAAGGTTGCCATGAAATTTACCTTTCACTTCATCGTATTACAGGATTCAAACATAAGCGCGAATAACGTAATGGTTAGGGGTAAAGATTTTCGACCACGAGATCGAAGGTTCGAATCCCGCCATTCGACTATTGTATTCTAATCGCTTCCCCTAAACACGCGACTAAATAAGGAGAGTTCTATATATGGAGTACTTGGATGGGTGTACGTTTCCCTTAAGTTAATTGCCCTCTCCCTTCACTTATTATTTAGGGTTTCATTATCTTTCAGGAAATAATATACAAGTGTTTTGGCAATAAAAATGCACTTTAAAATTATCTTATGTTGTGAGAATTAAATTTTTCTTGAAAGACTTCAAAACTATACATTCTTGTACAATTCCGGCATTAGAAGATCCTACATCCTTATCGATCGATCTACGTCAAAATCAATTTACTTTTCCGGAATATTCTATCTCTAATGTTCACTTCTGGTTGTTAACACAAGAGAAGTACTATCATGAGCACGTGGTACGCATCAACGATATCTCTACAATGTATTTCATCTTGTTTGTATTTTGTTTCTATACTAATGTTATAGAGAGGGTTTGATTGTTAGCGTTGAATAATCTCAAAAACTAAACCTATTTAAAAATTCTTTTGACATTAACTACGTTATTACCGATTAATCATACTTTCATACTAATATTATAATTGCGAAAGTTTAGATGGATGGATGTTTGTTAGAGTTTGTAGCCTAAATGGCAGAACGGATTTCGATTAAATTTGGCATAGACGTGGGGTTAGTCTGAAGGACCACATAGACTACCCAGTTTTTTTTTTTTAATTCAAACGGAGTCGCGGACCAAAGCTAGTAGGCAATATAATAAACGGAACAAGAACGGAAAGAGTATGTCAGAGGCTGGGGCGGATCACTAGTGTTTAATAAAAGTGTGATAATAACATAATTACAAATAGAGTTAATTAGATAGAGAGTAAATTAGATGTTTCGTTTGATTATTAATTATCCAAGCAAAATCGTTATGTAATATTTATTCGATTAAATATATCTAGAAAAATGAATAAAGTACCCTTTTTTATGAGAATAAATATCTTTAAACCTAAACCTAGAATTCTAGAAAGAGACAATATGTTCATCGCGTCATCGTTGTTAATAAGATAAAAAATAGGTAAATAAAGATTATACAGATTTGACCTCTTCACGTTGCAAATTGCGGTCTGCGTGGTCAACGTGACTAGACATTACGTTTTTTTACGGTATCAGTTCATGTAAAAAATACTTCTCTACTTGTTGAAGACTCATTGCGACATGTTTTTAGAAATACGACGGATAAAGTTGTAGTAAACTGAATAACTTATTTGTTAACATGTTATAAACAAACATGTTTTCAAAGTGTATTGAAATTTTATAGGCTTTGAAATACATTAAAATGTGCATATTTTAGTTTACATAATATTTATGCGGACAAATAATAATGCACGTCTATTACGCATTAGAGCTAGATTTTACTGGATTTATATTGAAAATAAGTTTATTTGAATAATCAAGAATTCGCTAAATTATTGTGTAGGATAAACGTTTGTTTACAAAATAAAAGGTTCTCGAGATTATTTTCCTGTTTTGTCACACAAAATAGTTTGTGTCTATGATCACTTCACGGTAGTGTGATTTCAAGAGCCCATCTGCAATCTGCGGATACAAGGTGACCTTTAAAAAGTAATTACACGTGCCGTTTGCGAGTTCTGGTACATACAAATGTAACGACCGTATAGATTAGGCGACAGTTTTCCTTCATCTTTGAATCAACGATAATTTCGGATAAGGTAAATTCAGAACAAGGAAATCCTACAGATCTCGTTCGATGTTTACCTCATTATCTTATTAGGAAAACAATAACAATTTGATTTTCTTGTAACTTCCGTCATATTTTAAACACAGTTATTTGTACTATGTCGGCCAAACTATAGTCTAAACCAGAGGTGGCGAACTTTTGCCACACGTGCCAATAAATGTACCCAAATTACGCACGTACGAAAAAACTATGAAGTAGATATGAGTGAGAATAATGGCACGTTATTAAGTAAGGTTCGCCACTCCTGGTCTCTAGATGGGTTTGGATTGGCAAAATAAAAAACACGTTGCTTACTTCTGGATAACTTTTTAACATGTAAAATGGAAATCCATGATCTTCACCTTCACCCGGTTACGGTCGTGAACGTACATATATTTATATAATTCTTTTATAAGCAAATTCACTTTTACTACCAATTTTAGTGGCTATGAAATGTTTAATGCAATGAAACTAGCGTTATCGCAGCTGCGGGAAACTTGTATTGAGTATTGTTTGCATTACAACTTTAATAAGCAATTGTTTGAAATTAACGCGTTTCTTTTTTAATCACAATTCCATAGATTTCTTTTGTATCGATATAATAAGATATTTCTAATATGAAGGTCCAATTTTAGTAACAAAAGAAAACTGAACTTGAGACCGAAATAGACTTGTTTTATGATAGATTTTGACCTTTATTTAAACCAATCCTCTTTTGAGTAGACTATAAACATTTCTTTTTTTATATTATGATTTGGCAAACGAGCAATTGGCCACCTGAAAGCCTCCAAAATGGCGAAGCGACCGGTGCTCATAGACATCCGCAATTGCAGATGCCTGATCGATGGAAGAGAAAATATTTCTCCTTCCAATTCCTCCTCCGTCCACTTTTCCTTCCCATCTTTACCTGTTAAGTAAAGGGTTGGAAGGAAAAGGTCTAAACTAAGGATTTCTAACTGAACAAAGAAAAAATATTTTGTTTCGCCGCAACTATGACTGCACATTTCTACATTCTTAGTACCTAAATATCTATATCAAGTCATAGAAAAAAATTGCTACCCTTTAAGACCCCAATCATATTCTTCCTCTATTAATACAAAGTGACAATAAATGCATAAATACTCTTTAACAAATTTTCGCATAAAATAATGTATACTTCTAATCGCATTACCTTCAGTTTGTATGCACCTTGGAATGTCTGCACATTAAAATTTGAAAAGTCCGTGTTTTCGCCTTTTAAGTGACAAATGGTTGCCATCTACTTTGATAAGGTTTTATGGTGAATCTTTTATTGTTTTGCTAACCTATTACAATTGCATACAACGTTCATTATACGATACTTTATGTACATACATTATTCTGTTTCTCTCAAGGGTAAACTTGTGAATAAGTTACTTAGGAATCACTATTCCAGCTAAAGATTCGAAACTCAACATTGTTATTGATATATTACAGTGTTTTCTTATTAAAAAACGATATTTACACATTGAGTATGAATTTTGAATATGTTTCTTAACATTTTATCACAGTTTAACCTCGAACCCACAACCCGAAGCGTAATAGATAAATGCCTCTCAGTAACGTGTACGTAACTTAGGTAAAGTTGTAACTTAATTATTTCTTAATTAATAGCTTTTAAAGAAGATATAAATGCCAGTTTAGTCATCTGATATTAAAGTACCTCGTTTGAAATTTATTTGATAATATGGAGAAAATCCTCCCGAGCTCGACGAAGGAGTCGTCACCAGACTATGCGTATAACTTTAAATATTCATGAATTAGTCTAGTGTAAATGAGATAGTAGAGTGTCCGCGAACATAAAACTAATTAATGCAAAATGTACAGTCGCTACATACATCTACCACTTGAAAAGTATCGAGGAAGAAAAATATAATATTCATTCTAGTTAAAAATACATAAAGTTCCATAGTTTGCGTGTTATCAATATTTGGACCATACCAGATGTCGATTGTGTCCTATTCTGGCAGTTCAAGGTCTATGGAAGTACGAATGACGTCACAAAACCTAACCCGCAGCGAACGGCCGCCGGCCGCCTCAACCGACGTACGGTCGCATCGCTGTACATTCCGTCAGCCAGTCGCCTTTGCCGCTTCTCTGCAGCACCACACGCACATCAAACATAACCTAGCACAATGTTTTAACTAATCGTGAATTTACTTTTAATAGATTTATTATTTAAATTATTATTAAAATAAACTGACAATATTTATTTCGAAGTGAAAGTTTGTGTCTATTAAACTAAAAACCAGTGTTTTAAAACTAAAATGAAGGATAAGAGTATAAGGTGAGTTGCTTTTTTTGCTTTTTATTTTTTGACATTTAAGTATACCAAAGTGAATGACCATCGTGCTCGATTAAAATATAATACATTGTCTTTACATAGCATATGTATTTTTACGATAAGAAAATTTGTATGTTAATTTAAAATAACTCTCGTAACTGTAAACCCATCGCTTGTTTACCTAATTAAGTCAATTTAAAATTATAGTTTCATAGTATTTAGTTAATTCAATGTGAAAACAGAATAATAAGATACTTTCAATTAATTAAAATTACACAGCTCACATCGTTAGGTAGTCTGAAGAGTATTGCATAATAATTTAAAACAAAAAAGTATAGAAGAAGGAACACGCATATGAACATGTAATATTTTTAGTTGTATTTCAATAAATGTATGTAAACTGATGAATATTTCACAATAATTCTTTAAAAAATTATAGAGAAATAAAAGAATGTGACATCAGTACATTAGTTAAGTATGAAAGAAATAAAAACGAAGCTATATGTCAACTGGTAGTCCTAGGATCGAATTCCGGGCGAAACAAGCTTTAATTTTTTTAACTATTATTTGTTTTAAATATCAAATGTTTTCTTTTGAAAAGCGATTTTGAACTAAAATGTTATTTTTTTTTATCATATCTATTCAATTTACAAAGAAACCGATTTCATAGGCGATATACTGAAAAATATGACGGAAGTGTTTCTGAAGTGCCTACTACCACTTCTCTAGTTCGAAAGCTTTACGAAGTGGTGGCGATATCGTTAAAATGAGCATGTGAAATATTGATTATAATTTTGTTTCTTCTCTGAATTATGAGCGTTGTAACTGAATGAAGTATTATAATAAGATTCTCATTCGAATCCCAAGCTTCTATTTATATGTCAGGAATTTTAATATCAAACGAGACATTTTAAAGTATTTCATTGTCGTCCGATGTGTATTCTTCAGCGTTATTACTTTTGTAAAATGTTTGTTTTTATTTGTGTAAACATTAGGGTCAAAGTACATATGCATCAGCTTTGTACAATCACGTGTTAAGGTATCGAGATGTTGATTTTTTATCGAAGCCAGGTGCGCAACGGACAATAACTATGAGCGCATTGTCATTGTATATTGTACAGCCAGCATTTCAATACATCCTTTCATAACACCTATACAATCAAGAAATGTAAGATTTCATGTGATCAGATAAATTGTGTTCAAAGCTTAAGTTGTTTTAATTTTTGAATTTAAACTATGGTATAAAATCATTAAAAATACAAACGAAATTGTCTCTGTGAGTGATGAGATTTTTAAATTCAATTCGTTTTGTCATTTGAAAATAAAAACTCTTTAAGATATCGAACCTTTACGTAGAATAGTAAGCGCCAATATTGGAGTTTCGGAAACGATAGCCCTTACTACTTTAACTGAGTACTGAGTAGTAAAATAGTAGGGACTATCGTTCTATGGCGGAAATATTCTCACGCGATCGCGACCGTTTTATCAACATTTTTTTCACGTTCAGGGAAATATTGATAACGACCGTATCAGCGAGAATCAATACAAAATTACCACAGATTTCTACATAACAGACATCAGTCGTTTTCTTATTGCGTCAATTTCAAAATTAAATGCCAAGAATTTTTGGTGCATATATTTATTTTAAAATATACGAGTTCCAAAAATAACTGTATATTAAATAGACTAGAAGTTCAAATGAAATGAAAAGCCAAAATTAACTTTATTGCTTTTTGGATTAATGGAAAATCTAGTTTTTATGATCAATAATTAATGTGTATATTAAATTAAAACCTTTATTTGCCCAATATAATATTACTTATGTACATTTCTTAAGACTTTCATGACTTGCTTGTTGTGAACTAAAACCATACCCTTTTACACCTAAATCTCTAAAAACCCAACATCTTTACATACCCCAATCATTTCTTAACCCTAATTTAAATAAGTCGTCCGTTTATTTATTCTCTTAACTTCATATTATAAATGCGAAAGTTTAGATGGATGGATGGATGTTAGAGTTGAACGGATTTCGATGAAATTTGGTATAGATGTAGGGGATAGTCTGGAAAAACACATCGACTACTAACTTTTTGTTTGTTTTGTTTTTTCAATTTCGCGCAGTAGGAGGGCGAAAGCTAGTACTTTATATTTCGTTTCACTATGACTACGGGAAAAGAACTTGTCCTTCCTTTTTAGTATGATGAACAAGAGATAAGATAGTAGGTTATGATGATTTGGTTGTACGTTTATCAAGTATTCTCGTGCAATGTCAAGGATAACCGTGGGTTTTCACTGTCGTTACGTTTAAAAGGAAACATATTGTTATCACAGTTATTTCCGAGAGTATAAGAGAGATAAAATATTTTTGTAATTAGTTTTCGGCAGTAGAAATTTAACTAATACTATAAACGCAAAGTTTAAATGGATGGATGTTTGTTGGAGTTTGTAGCTTAAACGGCTGAACAGATCTCGATGAACTTTGGAAGAGATGTAGAGGATAGTCTGGAAGAACACGTTGGTTACTTTTTTAATTCGACGCGGACGGAGACACGGGCGAAAGCTAGTTTATAATAAAACATACAACCAAGTTATTAGTGATTTCTCTTTGCGGTGGAACCTGCGAGTGCCATGTAGTTGAATTACGAAACATATCCGATAGAATCTCTTAGAAATACAGTAAACAAATAAACACGTATCAATTGTGCATTTTACACTAGGAATTGAAAAGACAACTTCAAGTTTTCCTACCTCTCCGTTCCGCATAACATGAGCAGAAAATATTTAATAATTTACGTCAACGCAACATTGTTTACGAAGTTATCCTTTACCATCGAGTAAATATCAGAGCGGGAACTGCATATTTAAGACATCGTAAATTGAAACGACCTACCTATCTTACGTAGAGTGATCGTTTTGGGTCGAACTCAAATATATTCATGAATTTCATTCTTTTCAAAACACTTAGAATAATCAATGAATAATTTATTATCACAAAACGAACAATAGCGGGCAAATATCTATGCGTCCGATATACCTAAAACGTTTTCTATATTAGCAACATTTTAAAAAGGTAGAGCAATATAAATATATAAGGTGACTGCTTTAAAGTAAACTAACATAGTACATCTTTAACTTATATGAGTGTAAGTAATATATACTTTTGAGATTAAACAAATTAGCAAGCATTTTTGACCGACTTCCCAAAAGAAGGAGGTATTCAATTCGTCGGTATATTTATTTTTTTTTTTTTTTTTTTTTTTTTTTTTTTTTTTT